GTCGCGGCTGCCCTCAGCGGGCCCTGGCACGGCGCTGGCCCCTGCAGCTCCGCAGGGTTTTTCTTTTGATAAAGCGCTGTTGGAAATTCCTGTTTCCATCAACCCCACTGATTGCAGAGGATTTGGGGACTTAGCGCCCAGCTCTCAGCTGCCCAAGCACCTCTCCGCTCCAGTCACTTTCAGCCGCAGCTCCGAAATGTTCGTTAACCCTCTCACTTTAGTGCTGGAAACCCCCGACGTGGGGAGAAGCGTCGGGGCCACATAAGGTGCCAGGAGCAGCCGGGAAATGGACATCGCAGCGATGGAGACTCGGGGACTCTTAGCAGCAGGGAGATCTCCCCGCAGCTGCATGCTTGTCAGGTGGCCCTCAGCTCAGGGTGTTTGTGGGGCTGGAGGAGGCAGGGAAGGCAGGCAGGTGCGTGAGTCAGGGGAAGCAGGGTGTATCCCCCTGCCCCTCCATTCCCCCAAGCTCATCCGGGCTCTGCTGTTTCAGCCTGCACTAGTCAAGTCGGCCCCTTGCTCATCACCATAGCAACAAGTAGCAGAGCTGAGTGTGTGTCTGGAGTGTAACTGGATGCTGCGAGGACTGCTGTGGAGGAATGGGTCATGCTGAGGCTAGGAGGGTGGGTCCCGTGCCCTGAATTGCCCAGGGGCATGGGACGTAATGCTGGGGCTGCCCTGCATCCCCTGTCTGGGAGAAGAGACTTCAAGGGGGCTGATTTGCCTGCACCTTGTGCTCTCATTTCCACCAATTGCGGAGGAGTGCAAAGCAGTTTGCACCCTGTCTTGCACAGGTGGAAATGCTGACCCAGAGTGAAGGGCAGCAGAGACCCTGGCTGAAGGACACTGCTCCTGGACTGCCTGATCTGGCTCCTGCTGGATGACCATCAGCATCTGCTGCCACTAGCAGCAGGGGGTCTCTGAAAAGACCCACTGCATTTTTCTCATCGGGTTCCTTCTGCAAAGGTCTCCCCCCACATGATGGCGGGGTGGAGAGAGGACATTGTCACACCCTGGGGAAGGTGTGTTGCTGCTTCTCATTTTTTGCACAGTCAGTGAGAGGGTGGAGGAGGTGTCTCCTTTCTCAACTCCCAATGTCACACACATCCTGGATGTCTTCATGGAACAGAGGCCAGGGATGGGAAGGGTGGCCAAGGGGCAAGGACGCAGCCCTGGCGCTTTGGAGCGCTAGGTTTAATTCCCTCCACTGCCACAGGCTCCCAGTGTGACCTTGGGCAAGTCACTTAGCCTCTCTCTGCCTCAGTCTCCATGTTGAGAAATGGGGATATTATTACTGCCTTATCTCCCAGGGGATTGCATGCATAAGTGTGTTAGTGATGTGCTCAAATGGAAGGTTATAGGGCCAGATAAGCACCATGGATAGAGCCAGCCTCCTAATTTTGTAGCTGTTTTCTGTTTCTCCTGTAGGATTGTCCCTAGCTGGTTATTATGACCTACCATCTGGGTGATGGTCCAGTTGTACCTCTGCAGGTTACAGGACACCTCTTTGAAAGCCAACATTGCAGTCCAACTTCCCATGACCTCAGCTGCTGGGCATTATTTTTTCTGTTCTGGACACCGAGGCACATGTTGATTTTAACTCCTTCAGGTTAATTGCCTTTGACTCAGGATGCTTAGATGTTGATATTTTCTTTTGATGTTCTGCCCATGAGTTTCTGAACTTATGCCCCAAAAAGCATTTTGAGGCATGTTGTGATATTAAAACAGTGTTAAGGACTGACCCACTCTATATCCACTGCTTTTTATTTTTAAGTCAAAAAGGAAATCCCAGCCCCAATAAAACAATGAAGGATCCAGGATGAAGCCAGGATGTCATCTCAAGTCCTTTGCTGTTTTTACCGATTTTCCTTCTGATCTATTTGGCTTTAAGCTCAGGCCTTGACATAATGTACTTGAAACAATACATCCCAGAGAATCCTTGAAATGACCCCTTGGGAATTCTAGGCCCTTTTCTTATCTCTTATGGGAAATCCCATAGTGAGCAAACCACAGTTTGTAATGTGTTATTGCTAGTTACTTGGTATGTTTTGCAACTGTTCAATTAAAAACATGAATTGTCCACCAGGAAGAGGCTCAGAATGATACCTTTTTAAGTTTCTGGTAATTTTGCACCAGCCTTGTACCAGGGACTACCAAGAATCTTATCTGATTTCTGGGGTTCTTTGCATCATGTGTTGTAGTTCTGTTGTAATCTTCAACTTTTCTCCCAGGGCCTTCTTGAGCTCTCTTCTCACACTTGTTACGACCTGCAAAGGCACTGTGTATTATGCAAAGCTCGCCCACTCTCTCACTTTCAGGTGGCTGTTACAGAGACACCTAGTTAACCAAGGCATTTGAGTCTGTATTTGCTTAGCTGTATCTAATTTTACAGTCCAAACACATTCAGCTTTTACTTCCCATCAGTGGTGATGTTCTTTACATGCCACATGTATCTTTGGCAATACAGTGGAAATCTAGGGACACAGTACATTGCTCTGGTATCCTAATCCAGGAAACACCTCCATGAATTCTTTGAGAATGCTTATTCATTTTGTTCTGTAGACATATAACTTACTCATTAGGTCTTCTGTAGTTGCAAGCCCTTCTGGCATCCTGCACCACATTTTCAAGTTGTTTTGAGTGGTGGCTGACTTCATGGGGAAGTATCAGTGTCTCCCTGCTACATTTGGTATCTTGTTTTAGGAAGGAAACTCAGCTTTTATCTTAATATGTTTGTTTGTTTGTGCTTTGGTATGCTGATTGCTAATCACTTTATAAACACCAGCTGTGACTTGGCTGTACTCACCTCCAAAGTCTACTTTGAAATTCATGCTTTGTTCAGTTCTCTCCAGGGGAACTATGGGGGAATTTGCTTTGCAAATTTATGAAGGATCCCAGCGAGGAACTGTTTCTGTGGTGTCATTATTGCATTATGGTCCTAATGGGTTTTCCCTCCGTTTTCCCCCTGCTCCTGAGCAATCTTTGGGATTTGGTCAGAGTCCCAATTTCCTCATCTAGCACCTGGCTTCTCCTTTGAATTATAGAGTTTCTTCCTCTCTTCCTTCATTTCAGCCAGCTTCCCTCATCTTCAGGTGGTTCCAGAAGGACCTGATTGCTATGAAACATACCCCTTTTATCCTCTCTCCTGCCCATGAATCCCTCTGAATTTTTAGATTCTAGCACCGCACTGGGTGGGTTTTTTGTCCAGTTTCTAGGGCAACTCAGTTCCTTCAGATTTCCACCCTTCTGCAGAGAAGTTGGAAGCAATGGACTTAGCTGAGATTACATTTCTCTTTTGGTTTTGCCAAGCAAGATCTATTAAGCTGCTCATAGTCTTTAAGGATCAAACTATTCATGGGTAGGCAGACAGGCACCTCTCCCTTTCATTGGAGCACAAGAACATGAGGTAGTGCAAAAGGAGAGAAGGTCATAATACAAAAGACCACAGGCTATGTAGAAATTCAAAATCATAAGCTGCATATGGATCCCCACATTGTCGCAGTTCTTTCAGCTCCTCAAGAGCTGAGGAAGCACAGGAGAGAGGGATCCTGTCCCCCTCCCCTTTCTGCTGACTGGGAGGGGAGCTATGTTAGACACCTTCTCAGAGCCTGAGGAAGGGAGCATCTCTCTTGCCCCCTGAGGAGAAGGGGTTCCTTGGGGACAATGCTTTGGTGTGAGTGTGGGATCATCTAGGTCTCCTGAGCTTTGGGAACCTTATTTCCCGACATCAGGAACATGGAAAGTCTGTGCAGGAACAGAGCCAAGGGAGGGAGCTGGCAGGAGCATTGTTCTGAGCAGGCTGAATCTGGGCCTGTGTACCTGCTAAGGGTCACCCCAACACTGTGGCTATGGGTAGCCCAGCCCAGGCCCATAATGTCATGAAGGAGAACAGCAGGCAGACTGGGGAAATGCCAAGGACAGTGAGTAACTGCTGGCATCTGTGTTAGTAGTGAGTGAGAAGGAAAATGGGGCATGTTCCCCTGGCGTGTGCCCCATGCCCGTTTCCTTGGGCAATGCTCCCAATACACACAGGTCAGGGAAGCAACTTTGATTTGAGAGGGCTGGCAAGGGGGCGGGGCGGGGTGAGTTGGTGGAGAGAGAGCAAGAGAATGGAAGTGGGGGGGCATGGGGCTCCAGGGGCTGGGGGAGGTCGGGCTGTAGGTTGCTTCACACAAAGGAGACTGGAGTGTAAGAAGCAGTGAGCCAATCACAGGCAGCAGCTGGTGATGAAAGGACTCACAAGGCGGCACAGGAAGCTCCAGCTCCCCCAGCTCCGGCTGCAGTACAAAAAAATCATCTCCACCAGGCAGAGGGACAGACCGACCGACCAACCCTGAAGGGGAAGGAGCCCTTCTGCCCGGTGTTTCCGTGAGGAGCCCTGGAGCGCGGTGAGTCCTAGTTCGATACCAGAAGAGCAGGGCTTGGTGCTGAGCGCACCATGTACCATAAAAGAGACAATGCTGCTGGCTTTGCTTTGTGAGGTTTGGGGGAGGGGGTGGGGGATTTGACGAGGAAGTGGAAGCATTATTACTGTTAATTTTGTCTAGTCCCAGCCCTGCTGAGAGAAAGTGAAAGAAACAGACTGAGAGGGTGAGGGTGGAAGGTGCGGAGCCATCAGGAGAGAGGAGACGCCAAGGGAGAAAGGGATGGAGAGAACAGGCAGATGCCAACACAGAGGAGACCCCGAGCTGGGGAGAAGGGAGAATTGCACAAGAGCTAACCAGCAGGAAGGGGTGGTGGGAGCTGGTCCCCATAGCCCCCTGTGGGTCCCAACCAGGAGGTCCGGTTGGTAGGGAGAACATCAGGAGAATGTGCCCATAAC